TACGTTAAAACAGTTCAATGATTTAAACAAACTTTGCACCAAATGCACATCGTGAGATTCCTCGGGTGGCACAATCAAACATGAAAAATAAAACGTAATGATGGTATGTTTGGAACAAAAACTGGCATTTTGAAGAATTTATGTACATTATATATTTTAGCAAGACCGAATTTGATGGTCGTTAGTTAATGATTTTTACTCTATATTACAAAAATATAAGAGAAAATTACTTAGATTATCACTAATTTGTTGATATATTACTAGACATATACCCACTCAAAAATTTAGTCAAAACCTGTAAAAAGTCACTTAACCCATCAAATTTTATTTTTAATAACACTAATACCATTTTATTGCTTAAATTTTCCTGTTTTTTAATTAATTGTATAGAAAACGACGTTTTTGCATTTAGGGTTTTGTTTTCCTCAAAATCGATTTATTTCTGCGACGAAGTCAAGAAGAGAGACGACGTCAGAGCTAAAATCATCAGCCCATTTAGCGTTTAAGTTCTTCATCACTATTTTGGTCGGTGACCTCTGTTTTCCCAGCGAAGAAGAAGACCTGTGACTGAAGATGCAATATTTCGTGAAATAGAAATTGCAACTGGAGATGGTCTTCATGATGATGTTGAAGCTGCAAAATACAAAGCAAAGCAAAAAGGAATATGTTAGATGCATTGTAGTGCTAAAAGTTTCTAAGAGAAAAAGGGTTTTAGGGTTCCTTGTAAGGAAATCACGAGATATGCTTTCAAGACTTGTATGGTCTTGAGAAACTTGTGAGAGACTAGATTTCTAAGAGATACTTATTGAAATATTTTTGAGAAATTCTTGTGCCATAATCTACTGCATCATATATATCTATATAGTTCTTGCTTTTTCAGTGACCTCTATTTCCCCATCGAATAAGAACATCCATGACGGTCAAGTTTTCCTCCAGATTTCGGCGAGAACCGCTGTAGTTCTCTGCTTGACAGAGTAATCTCTGTTTCGTCTCTGTAAGTTTATTTGGTTAGCGATATGTAGTTATTTCTTTTTCTTCTTCATAACACAATCTGTAACATAAGACCGTTCAACTAAGCTTGTACAATCATATCTTAATATTTCGATTAATCAAGCTTTGTCTGTAGCTTTGTAACTAGTATACACAAATTTAAGAGCTTTTTTTTGCCCTCTTTATGATTAGGTAGCTTTGTTCTATGATATATATATGATCAATTGATCAAACTTACAATTGACGAAGAATCTTTGTGATTATATAGCTTTGTCGGAAGCCTTTGTTTAATTGGTTCAAATGGTCATTAAGACTAAACATATAGTATTTGTTGATACACCTTCGTTCTACAGCATGATCATGGGGACGTCATGGCTCTATACCATGAAGGGTGTCACCCCAAGCTATCACCAGTCTATCAAGTTCCCGACTACCAACGGAACTCATACGATCAGAGGAGATCAGTGCGAAACACAGAGTTGCGTTATCCTCAAAAAAAAAAAAAATCGAAACAACAGAGCGTTGGCGCTCTGTGGTGCCAATGGCGCCGCATATCTCTCCAAAAAAGAACTCCAGGATAAGGGCAGACAGAAGTCAAAGGAGAACACCATCACACAGTTTACCATCGATCTACA